CCTTACTCCTGTTTAGTGGAAGGGGTTTTCCAATAAGAGTAGCTTTGAGTTCACTTTCTCTTTCCGCTTTTCTTTGCCCCGCATCGTCCTGGTTTTTCAGGGATTGCGTTGCAGGGGACCAGCTCACCCCCTCTGCGTTCTCTTTGGCAATGTGCCTCCTGGTTTTATTTCAACACCGAGCGGCCAGTTTGCTCCCTCGCCTTTAAATCCCAGCCTGTTTCCCTGGGTATGCAGCCCGGTTAGCCGCTGAGCGTCCCTCCAGCAACCCAATCGCCCTAATCGATACACATCAAAATAGCTCAGCCCCGATTAGGGGCTTTACGCCCCTTCTATAAGAGTTGCCGAGGAGTTTGATTCAGAGACAGCTGTCTATATACACGGGTGGAGATGGGGAAGCGGTTATGTACATTGGTAGGTGTGCGCATTGTGAGGAGGGAGGGAGAAATGGAATCTGAATCGCTATGAGATCGAGTGATATATTGTATTTTACTCTAGAGTTTGTCTCATATATCATGAGATGAGATAGATCCCATTTAATGTATAGATAGATAAGTAATATATCAACTATACTTCTCCCTCAGGATGAGGGAGAAAGATTGATGCATATCTCGATATGCAGAGAATCGATTTAATTTCATGCCCTATAAAGACAGACTATAGAGAGAGGGAGTAGCTTGTAATATATTTCTCTCTCTCTCCATATATACATATCTATATTTATATCTAGCAGGGGGTTAGCCCTGTTAGTCTGTATCCACAAACACAACGAGGGGGCTCCCGGTTATTTATATCTATGTTACTCTCTATTTCATCTGTCTCATTCTTGATCTACAGCCCTGCCTGGAGAAAGGTTTCTCGAGGTAGCCTTTGACCAATTTAAAACTCTTTAGTTGAAACCAGCTATGCAGCTAGCGATTGGCGAGGGTTTTGCAGCTCCTGGCTCCGGAAGCTTTGATTGATACGGGCTTCGTTTTCGCATGGGAAGGGAGGCGATCCCAGAGGTTAACTAGGAAAGGGGAGGTTTAAAGCCGCCGGGGTTTAAGTACTCACCTCGACCTCTATTTGTGGGGGTGGGGAGAAAGAAGTGATCAGAAGGTTTTCCCAGCCACTCAGCCGTTGTCACCCCCCTGCCCCTTAGCTTTGCCTTCTGATTCCCCCTGCCCCCCATGCCTTATAAAAACCAGCCTTATAAAAACAACTGGGAGCTTCGGGGACATTGAGATTTCTCTTAGTAATACACCTGCGCTGGCCAGAAAGAAACGAGTAAAAAGAACATAAGAGCGGCCACACTGGGTCAGACCAATGGTCCATCTAGCCCAGTGTCCTGTCTGCCGACAGTGGCCGATGCCAGGTGCCCCAGAGGGAATGAACAGAGCAGGGAATCATCAAGTGCTCCATCCCCTGTCCCCCATTCCCAGCTTCTGGCAAAAGAAAAGAAAAGTCTGTGGGGGAGGCTATATGGCTGCAAACGGGGGTAAACCGGGAGGAAAGTCCCCGTAGGCAGGAGTTTATAAATCAGACAAACTCACTTTTGCTCTTGGAAACAAGGAGAGGCTAGAGCAGCCGTCCGCATCTGGCCCGAGCATCAGAGGGCCCGATCCTGGGAACCTTTACTACGCAATAACAAACTGCCACTGCAAGGGGAAGGAGAGCAGGACTAGCTCCTGGCCTTATACATATAACGCTTCCGCTGCTCTTTATTTTCCCGATATATGTATATCTCCTGCCTTTCACCTTCACTGTTATCTTTCCTGTTTGGGACAAAAGAAAAAAGGCCAACGGAGAGGTGTTCTCTAAACTATGATCTTCCTAGCAAGTCACTTCAGAGTTTGGCCTATTGTGGCTTGTAAGGTCCCTGGTTTTCTTGCCCCCACCCGTATCAAAGCAACAATAACGGCAGCAGTCAATGCCTCTCTCCGTCGAAAGGATATACCCAGAATACCGTACCGTGTCCAAACCGGCGTGAAACGGACCGGCCTTCGCTCGGTTCGGTCCTGTGAGAACAACGCTCCCCAGCTGGTTTCGGGGGGGGGGGCAGCCCTGTTGGTCGGTATCAGCAAAACCAGCCAGGAGTCCTTGGGGCACCTCAGAGACTTACACACATTTCTGCGTGAAACCGTTTCAACGCCTTCTTGAGTTGCCCAAGGAACAGTAAATTCGTGTCCATTTCCGCCCAGCAGAGCCCCCGATCCTAGCTCGGTTGGGTAGGTTCCAAGGCGGCATCTCACTATTATTAGTTTATTATTTGATTTTTATTTTATAATGTATTCTTCCTCAAACAAGCCATGCCCTGCCTTCTTCCCCAGTCTTTGCCTACATGACAAACTCAATGGCGCGTTTCACCTCAGCGGTTCCTTTTGCTTCTTTACCTTCCCGTCAGGTAAATCTCCGGACAAGAGCGCTGCCCCGACCCCTGTCAAATCGCTCACTTCGGTGGGCTGAACAATCCCAAATGTCCAACAGAGGGAGACAAAGGGTTAGCTTTTCCTCCTCGGTGTTTTGTGTGGTCTCAGACGCTGCTCCCTGATATAAGCAAAACTCGGTTCCCCCCCCCCCCCGCACAGAAAAAATGCAAGTCTGATTGTTTCACCTTGTGCTAACTTACCATTTGCTCCTTTCAAAATGCTCACGGCTTAGAGTCTGCCTTTCTAGTGGAAACTGTACTAAAAAAACGAGACATATTGCCAATCGGACAGTTAATCGTCCTTCCTTTGGGCAATTCAATAATCGATTCGTTGGCGATAAAGGCCCTTATCATTTTCACCAGCAAATATTTGTTCTTCTATCGTGAAAACCTGATTTACCCATCCCTGATTATAATCTGCAAAAAGAACAGGAGGATTTGTGGCACTTTAGAGACTAACAGATTTATTTGAGCATAAGCTTTCCTGGGCTAAAACCCACTTCATCAGATGCATAGAATGGAACATAAAAGTAAGAAGATATATATAGAGAGATAGATAGATTAGATATATATACAGAGAGAGAGAGAGTATGCCAGATGGCAATTTCCACCTTTTCATGTTCTCTCATCTTCTTACTATATGTTCCATTCTATGCATCCGATGAAGTGGGCTTTAGCGCAGGAAAGTTTATGCTGAAATAAATTTGTTAGTCTCTAAGGTGCCACAAGTACTCCTGTTCTTTTTGTGGATACAGAGGAACACGGCTGCTACTCTGAAACCTGATTATAATCTACCCTTTTAGGAGAGAGAGGGACATTATAAACTCAGACGCCAAATACCAACGAAAAGGGTCTGCACCCCGAGCGAAGAAGAAAACGTTGACCAGAGAACTGCACCAAGTCTGAACAAAACGGTCCGTTCTACTGTGAGCTGCCCTCAGACATGACCCGAGAGATTAATAGCGTAGTCATTAAAATAAATCCTAGGGAAAGGTTCTTTCTCAAATCCTCTGATTAGATTTGCCGAACCTTACTCTTTCGTTTGTTTTTCACAGCCTCTGGAGCAGCCAATGTCCCTGCCTCAAACTACACCGGGAAGCTAAACACTTTGCGAATGAGATTCTGACTTTCAACCCCTTGAATTAAATGTTTACATTGAAGTCAATTGAATTAAAATTCCTTTTAACCAAACCATGATTGGTGGCTTTAGTTTATTTCGTCCTGTTCTGATTAATTTCCCCCACTTTTAATCTCACCCCGGCATGGGGTTCACCGGCCAATATTTACTCTAACAATCTGTGTTCACACAATTTTTTATTTATCTAGGGTGGAAATATACCCCTACTCCATCGCGTCCCTGCTAACGATTCGTTCTTTCTCCCCGCGGTTCATTGCCCTAAACTCGAGATATCTAGATCGATACAAAGATTATATTTTCTTCAGTTGCGCTCTGTGTGTGTGTGTGTGTGGGGGGGTGTTCCTCCCCCATTGATCTGAAAGCTCCAATCGTGCATTCGTAATTTATTACTCCCCTTCGTATTAATTGACATATTAATATATGCTGCTTACTAGCTAACGATTCTTTTTGGTCAAGCAAGTCAAGGTAAAAGGGTCAGAGAAAGGCTGTTATCTTGCTCCGTCCTGATCTTTTCCAGCTGTGAGCCTATGCAGGCAAAATAACTGCATCTGTTGTACACAGTACCTGAGAAATGGCACTTGCTGTTTCGTTAGTGGCCCTATTAAAAGCGCATCGGAGGAGTAAGCAGGACGCTAAAAGTGTGTTTGGTTCCCGTGGAATTGTGGATTTAGATCGTTTCAGAACTCTTACATTACAGAACAGTTGGTTACCCTGGTTAGGCTCCGTATCAGGAGTCAAACAGGATTTATTGGCTTAAAAGTCATAAGTGCTCGTAAGAACCACACTGGAAATGATTCATAGATCCGGATTCTGTTTGCAAGCCCTTTCCAGTGCTAAGGAAACAGCCGGGAAATGGACTCTGAAAACCAGCGTAGTAATTAATCTGCTTTTGGAGATTTGACTTTGGTTTTGAAGAGCAATCTCCCAGCCTAATTAGCCTCTGCCATTTTAAAGGACAGATGGAAAATGGCAATATTTGGCTGTATCTTTTTGAAAACTCTCTCCATTATTTACCCATATCCCAACCGCAATAAGATGGTGTGATGAATATTTTTAAATACAATAAAACAAAAGACGGGGTTCAGTGTGCATTCTGAAAAGGTAAAACAATGTTCCCGAAGGGGCTCAAAGGAGCCTGAAGGCAACCAGGGTTTCTTTAACAGCAACTTTGGCCAGGCACCATGAGACCTCCCTACTTCGACAGATTATTTCACAACCAGAACTGTCTCCATCCTACTGAACTGATATCTCAAAACGACCTTCCTCGCAGCAGGTGATAATCGGGTTGAGACTGTAAATGGCTTGTGCCTCTTTATGTTGTAAAGGTCCCGTGCCGGTACCGCGCACCCAGGCAAAGCCAGTTCAAGCCCTGGGAGTTTTGCCTGAGTGAGGACTGTGTGATCTGGGGACAGACACTGAACGTGACGGGGGGGGCGGCTTGATCCCCAAACGCTATCGATGGAGAGGCGCCGGCTGGCTGTAAAGGATCAGCCCCTCGGTAAGGCTAAAAATGAACCGGGTGTAATTCCTCGGTGTCACCTGGTTTTAAAAGAAATCGACTGCAAACACCTTCTTCCCTCCTCCCCCCATGACCCTTAGCAAAAAGATTCCCGTCCCGGGGGAGAGGGGCTCTGGCAGAAGAATGGGGCTGGGGAGGGGAGCGAATCCAGCCTTGGGCAGCAAAGCCCCGCTCCAGACAGCTGTGTCCCTCGCCCTGTTGTTACAGGAGTAGTTGAGGGAGAGGAGGGCGGAAAGGGGGGGAAAGTCCCGCAGAAGAAGCAGCCCTCTGCCAGTTCGCAAGGCCGGGAACCAATGAAATGCCAACTCCGGCGTGACCACCGAGATTGACGTGGAAGACACGTCAAATTGATCTGAGCAAACGGCAGGCTCCTGGACGGGCTGATCCCCCCCCGATCGGATGAAGATCACTTTGGGCGTGAGTCCCCGGCCGCCTTTGAAAGTGTTCCGGCCGCAGCCGCGGAGAGACGGGCCCGGAGCAAGGGCAGCCCGCCGCGGCTGGGTTTGTCTCCGGAGGAGCCTGGCTGGTGCTCGCAGGCAGCCCCCCTCTATGCATCCGCGCCTGCCTCGGGGAAGAGGGAGCCCGCGGCTCGGCTAGCCTGCAGCTGATCGCGCACGGCGCGGGTCTCTGCGGGCGATGGGTAAGGCGCTGCGGGGGGGGGGGGTCTGATTTCTGCGAGGTGGGGGGATCCTTGGGAAGGAGAAAGCGGCCGGGCTGGGCGTCGGGCACGCAGTTTCGCTTTGCTATCCCGAGCCAGCGCTGCAGCGGGGGAAGCCAAAGCCCCAGCCGGGGGAAGCGCACCCCCATCCCCACGCAGCGAGGCCTGGGGCGAAGCCTCCACTCGCTCCCCACACCCCGCTCCGGCACGGGCATGAAGGATAATAATCGCAATACTCCGCGTCGCGTCACAGACCCCGTCCTTCCCCCGACGCGGCCCCGGCCTCCCTTCGCGGGACCCAGTGCGCCCCTGGTGTGGGGCGCGGGGCTGTTTGGGAGGAGCTGGGGAACTGGGGCGCTCCATGTACCGTGCAGGGCGTAGACTGCCAGAATCTCGCTCTTTCCCTTGTCCCCTTTTATTTTTGAAATCTTGCGGTGCTAACCCGTCCTTCCCCCCCTCGCCAGAGCAAACCTACGGCGAAGTGAACCAGCTGGGAGGCGTCTTTGTCAACGGGAGACCCCTGCCCAACGCCATCCGCTTGAGGATCGTGGAGCTGGCCCAGCTCGGGATCCGACCCTGCGACATCAGCCGCCAGCTGCGGGTCTCTCACGGCTGCGTGAGTAAAATCCTGGCCCGCTACAACGAGACGGGCTCGATCTTACCCGGAGCCATCGGCGGGAGCAAGCCGCGGGTCACCACCCCCAACGTGGTGAAGCACATCCGAGACTACAAGCAAGGCGACCCGGGGATCTTCGCGTGGGAGATCCGAGACCGGCTGCTGGCGGACGGGGTGTGTGACAAATACAACGTGCCCTCCGTCAGCTCCATCAGCAGGATTTTACGGAACAAAATCGGGAACCTCTCCCAGCCCAACCCCTACGACAGCACCAAGCAGCCTCCCCCCCAGCCAACGCTGCCCTATAACCACATTTACCAGTACCCCTACCCCAACCCCATGGCCTCCTCTGGGACCAAAATGGGCCATCACCCGGGCGTGCCGGTCACAGCTGGACATGTCAGTATCCCCAGATCCTGGCCCTCGGCGCATTCGGTCAGCAACATCCTCGGTATCCGGACCTTCATGGAGCAAACAGGTCAGCGAGTGCAGCTTCGCCCACTCGCACTGCAGTGGGCGCTGGGTTTGGTTGGTTGGGGTTTTTCTACCTCCCAGGGGCCCAAAGAGACCCATGGTTTGGGGTGCTTGCATATGGGGGTGCTTGGTTTTTTTTAGCAGGTGGGTGCTCAGCGCTTTTCGAACACCAGCCCCCCTTGTTGGGCACCCAGAAACGTAGGCACCTAAAATCACGCGTGGCTTTTGCAAAATCCCTTTTAACCATATATAAACAAGGGCGGAACAATGGCTGAAAGAGCTGCGTAAATAACCCGGTGCATTTAGGGCGGATCTGATGGGCCAGCTGGAGCAAAACAACCGACATCTTGAACTTTTTATGAAAAATGTGGAAAATATTTTCGTGGGGATGAGAGATTGCCCGTCACACATGCAGAGCTCTGAGTTCCACTCACCCCCTCTCCAAAAAACCAAGCCCAGCACATTCAGATCTCGATTCCCTTTTGCCAGATCTAAGCAAATGTCTCAGATTCGTTGCCAGAAATTTGCCTGCCCTCTTAGCACTTTTAAAAGAACTTTCTTCTACAATCCTTCTTTGCTAGAAAATACAAAATATAGTGCAACTGGCACACTAGCTAGAATGCATCCTTCAGTAGTGATCAAAACAGCTGATTACTATCAACACTATATATACCAGGCAGATCTTTGGCTGGCAAATTGGATCGTGGTCAGGGTTTTTAAAATTTCTCTGTCACGCTTTATTTATACAAAGCCGAATTGAATAAATTAATACCCGGTTCCACTTTTGTTCTGAACAAGTCGTTTGGGGGAAATGCCCTACTTTGATCCTTTCAAATGCTAGAGGTAAATAAATCAACCGCATGCGTTTCTGTCTATGAATTATACCTTTTAAATTATAAGAAAGCCTAAAAGTTTCCTAGTGCAACAGGCAGATCTTTTGGGGGAGGAGAATGTGTTTCAGCTGAATTGTAAGCAAGGCTGGTCATAATTTAGACCGTCAGAGTTCGTGTTTTATGCTCCCCCAGACTCTTTTGACTTCGTACACAGTTTTCATAAGCAGGCAGGCCAATTTGAGAAGCTAACCTATTGCCCCGGGTTCCTGCTAACGTTTGCGTGAGCGATTGTCACGATGAAGTGAGCTGTAGCTCACGAAAGCTTATGCTCAAATAAATTGGTTAGTCTCTAAGGTGCCACAAGTCCTCCTTTTCTGTTTATAAAGCGGGCTCCCGAATGCGTATTCGCTTCGGATTCAGGCACATTCTGGAGCCAGAAAGAATTTTCAGTCTGAAAATGTTTCCCAAATCTGGATTCTGTTTTGTAGCCTCTGGACGATGCTGTTTGAATAGGGACATCAGAGTTTTCTGTTAAAGGCCAGGATCTCTATCAGATCATTCTCGATCGCAATTTTGAATGATTCTCATACAAAGCTCCACCCCCAATCGGCCCGTGTCGAAAATGCCACCCAGACAGTGCGATTTTTAGCCGGCTCGAAGGTGCCCAGTGACCAAGCTGACTTGAGCGAAAACGAAATAAAGTCTGACTCGATGCTGAGCTCATTGAAACCAAGGGCAAAACCCCTTGCTGCCTTCGTCCCGGAGCAAGACCGGGGCCCTGCGTGGCTTTTCACAGCGCTTAGAGATCCCGGGTCATGGGATAGGACAGCAAGGGGGGGTGGCTAGGTGGCATGGTTCTAGGGAGAGTCTGAATGCGGATCAGTACATCTCCTGCAATCTGTTCCCATCCCAGGGCCTCTGGCTGGGACAGAGGGGTCTGCCTACCCACCCAAAATGGAAGACTGGCCTAGTGTGAACAGAACGGCCTTCCCTCCCGCCCAGGCAGCCAATGGGATTGATAAAGCTGCAATGGAAGCGGACATTAAGTACCCCCAGGTAACATCTTCCAGCCAGGCGTTTGCAGCTGGGGGACGGAGGGGGGGGGGGAAAGATAGCCGTGAAGAAAATGCTTGGCTTGTGTGTGTCTGGGGGGGGGGGGATTTGGGGATCACCCCTTGAAGGAAGATTAAGAGTTCCAGTTGGGAAAATCGCGAGCCGAGGCTGTGAAAATGCGGGTGCAGTTCATAACTTTACATTTAACACACCAGATTGTGTGTGTACGCAGGCATACACCAGAGCATAAACACAACCGTGGATGCCTTAAAGGAATCCGTTTGGGTTGAACAATTTGTTTTGTATCACCTCAGCTCAGAATCGGTGTGTATTTACACGGGCAGACCGAGGCGTGTGTATCCCCCCGCTGTCTGATGCATTGAATGTGTCCATTGTAAGTGCATCAATATTTTCACAGCCCCAGCTGGGGATTTCCTTAGGTTTTGTTGTCGTTGTAATTCAACTTTCCCCTCGCTTTTCTGTCCCCGCCTCCCCGTTCTCTCGGTTAGTCGAATAAATCGAATCCACCCGGTTCCCGGAATCGAAGGGGGGACGGGGGCTGATTTCAGTCTCCACGTAAAAAGACGAACCGGAGCAGGGGATGTGCTCGGCGAGGCCCGGGGGTTGCAGACACTGGGGCTGTGTCCATGGAGAGGCAGATGTGTAACCTTCCCGGGGACGAGGGCGGGCCGCACCTTACGATCCCGTTCCGGCCTCAGGCCCCTAGCAGAAGCCGGGAGTCTGTAATGCCTGTAACAGCCTGTCTCCCGCTTCTCTTCGCAGCCTGCCCCTGGCCTTTCCAGCTTCCTCCCAGCCTGCGCCTACCCCTCTTCCAACCAGCACGGGGTTTACGCTGGCCCCGGGGCGGGCTACATCACCCCCGGCCACCACTGGCAGGCGCAAAGCAGCCCCCTGGCGCACCACGGGCCCGGAGTGACGGTCCCCGGAGGAGAGCTGGGCACCGCCATGGCCTTCAAGCATCCCGCCCGAGAAGGTAAAGCCCAGGAGCGCGGGGAGCCGGGGGGGATGCGGATCGCACCCAGGCTGGGTGGGTGGGGAGGGAGGTAAATCTTAGTGACCTGCCTGGTGACCTGAGCAATGTATCCTTCGCTTCTGGCCGGCCCGGCGGCTGGGAAAGTCTCCCTACCCTCGCCGAGGGGCCTGTGGAGGCAGGAGGTGTTCCCTCGCCCGCGCCCACGCCGGCTGGGGTCCTTTGGCACCAGCCACTTTCCTCTCCGCAGCCACACAGGTGGCCGAGTCTCCCCAGCCACTTACACACCGCAGGAGACACACGCTGGTGTGTCTGTCCCTGCAGTGATTTACGGAGACCTGGGCTCTGCGCTGCTTGGGAGGGGGCTCGGTCACCACCAACCACAGACCACTTCAGAAACCGTGGGAACGGGCTGCTCCATGGCACGCATGATGTGTGTAGAGATACCTGGAGGAAGTGTACATATGTATGCCTGTAATAAAGAGAGAGCTGCAGGGAACATTCCCACGTTTCTAAACACTGCTCTGTGCTTTAGTAGTTATATAACATCCTCCGAATGAATTGCGGGGTATAGCAATGATATCCCTCAATCAATCCTTGGACAGACACATTGTTCTCTTATTTATAATATAATAATATCAAAATAATATTTTGTTCCATATATATACGTGAAATATATAGAGCTATATGGACATTCCCATGTTTATTAAAAATGCTCTGTTTGCATAGTTATATAACATCCTCAGAATTTATATTATATAGTGAGAGATAGATTAGATATATTCACTATATAGCTATAATAGAACATGCCTCCGTTTAATATATATATTTATAGTCTATTACACTATATAGCTATAATGGAATATGTCTATGTTTATATATATATATATATATATATATATATATACAGGCATTTCTATTATAGCTATAAAGTGTCATACACAATTATATATGTGTGAAATGCCTGTTATATATATATATATATATTACACACACACATATATAATTGTGTATGACACTTTACAGCTATAAAAGAACACACTTGTGTGTGTATATATATAATATGAACACACATATATAATTGTATTTCACATACCTGTGTGTACATAGAATTTGTAAAATCAAATGAAATATAGAACTTTTAAAATTTAGATATAAAATTATTCTGTGGAAGAGAATATATAAAAAGACCATCTCTCTCTCTCTCTCTCTCTCTGTTTTACAGCTGCACACACACATATATAATTGTATTTCACGCACACACGTTTATATAGAATTTGTAAAATTACATGTAATATAGAACTTTTAACATGAATAGATACAATTAGCCTGTGGAGGAGAATTAGTCTCTCTCTCTCTCTCTCTCTCTCTCTCTCTCTCTCTCTCTCTCTCTCTCTCTGCCTGGGAAGCAGAGTTCTACACGATTTCATAAATGCAGGATCGGGCCCTAAACTATCCGATTTGTCATTTCTCAGTTGTGCCCAGGGAGGCCCGGCCCCGCAGGTCTAGTGTCTTTCCACTGACTTCAGCCGGAGCTGGATCGGCCCTTGGACTTTAGGATTCTGGAGGGTGGAAAGCTCAAAGACGATGTGGAGGAATTACTTAATCTTTCGTTTGTATTCACGCTAAAAAAAGTGCAAATAGAGATAATGCCGCTTTCCATGCGCTTATCTCGAGCTGGGCAGCACTGAGCGGGAGCCAGTATTTGATAGGAAACGGTAGCAAGCGCTAGGGCTGGGGTAATTTGTAAGCTGTGGGTTATGATCCTTTCCCATCAAATAAACCCCTTGCAGAATGCCGCTGGGTAGTCACTGCAGTGTCCTGCCTCAAACCAGCTACATTCTGCTGGTTACTAAACCGAAAAGGTGGTTTAAGTCCTAGCACTTCTAAACTTTTATGGAAATCTGAAAATACATGAAGAAGGTCCCCCCCCCCCAGCCCCCAAGAAGCACCTAAAATAATTGCCGGTTATGTCCTTGCGAACGTATCTGCTAGTCCAGAATTGTACAACCCTTGCGTTCAACATGTTTCATATCTGTGACCAGTAAAAACATAAAGATTCAACGTGGAAACCATTTCCCCCCTCTTAATGTTCAATCGTGGGAGATGGAAATCTCAGAGGAAGCAGAAAGATCTGGGGCAAACATCCAGCTTTTAATTCTTTAAAACAAGGATCTCTTTCTTAGAGGTAATTATCTGTGCCTGGAGTGTGCATTGTGTGTAATGAAACAGAAAAGAAATTGCCCAGTGATGTTCGGTATCATATAATAAATACAGCGAAGTGACAGAGGTTGAGCATTAGAGACCTTCGTTTTTAGTAATAATAATTTTAGCCATATTAAATAAGTATTTTTCCTGGATACCTCCGACCATAAATCTTGCAGAAGTGCTGGTGGATAATCCAGATCTAAGAAAGACACACTCATTCGAGGAAAATGACTAACATTATAAATCGCTTATACTAGTTATTTCCCCCCCTCGGGGAGTATTTAAAGTAATACACCCTAGGAGTATAATAAGCGATCACATGTTTCTGATGTGAACACGTCTCTATACTGTAGTATATTTTTTAACGGTGAACATTTGTTCTTCTGTTAATCACATTGGTCCATTTGGGGACGTTTTATTTCTTTGATATGCGGTTTCATTTAAAAAATGTCAGGTTTCAGAGTAACAGCCGTGTTAGTCTGTATCCGCAAAAAGAACAGGAGGACTTGTGGCGCCTTAGAGACTAACCCATGTATTAGAGCATAAGCTTTCGTGACCTACAGCTCCAGCCCACGAAAGCTTATGCTCAAATAAATGTGTTAATCTCTAAGGAGCCACAAGTCCTCCTTTTCAAATGCTAACTCATCTCTTCTGCTTCCATTCTTTGCCCCCCCTTCTGCGTTGTTCACTAGCATGCCTCTAGTCTTTTTCACATTTGCAATTCATTTTCCACTTATCAGCTAATTTATGTGTGACTGTTTTAATATACGACCCTTCACCGTTTTTGCCTAACTCATGTAGCCTTCTGAGAGTTGCAGCTTCATTATTACCGCTAATAACGAGTGGTTGTGTACAATAAGGGATAACAATTAATAGCCATAAAAGGATTTTAGAAAGAAAGAAAGAAAGAAAGAAAGAAAGAAAGAAAGAAAGAAAGAAAGAAAGAAAGAAAGAAAGAAAGAAAGAAAGAAAAAGAATTTTGTTAAATATCTATGCACATTCTAGTTTGACTAATTTTTTGGTCCATTATCATCTATCTATCTATCACCGTAAACCCTATCTATCTATCTATCTATCTATCTATCTATCTATCTGTCTGTCTGTCTGTCTGTCTGTCTGTCTGTCTATCTATCCCTTTTACAATCAAATGTATTGTTTACCAAAATACAGTGTGTGTGTGTGTGTGTGTGAGAGAGAGAGAGAGAGAGATAACCCTTCAATTTTAATAAAAAAGTACGAGGAACTCTTTGAACACCTCAGAACTGAGAGTATAAAAACCATCCCTGCACTATTACCTTGGGAAAGCATAGCTTCCTCTAGCTCATGTACGTTATTTGACTGGATAAGTAATGATTGTCTCCCATAACTCAGCGGTGTGAGATGTGTCTATGTAGACACTCGCGGGCTCTGACACTCAAGGCCCCCCCCCCCCCGCCACCCCCTTTAACTGCTACCCATCAAACAACATTCACTCATCTAAACGGCGCGCGGGCACCTAGTCCATTTCGTATAGTCTCAAGCTAGCGGCGACAAAGAAAGTTTCATTTTACCTTGTACAGCCGGTGTAATCGTACTAAACCCGGTACATAAAACAAATCCCAAGTAATAATTGACAAGGAAGTAGATTCATTTATGGACAGATTTTCTAACATAATAATAATAATCAACGAGTGCTCAGCACCTTGGAAAAAATCACCATTAAAGAATTTGGTTAAACCTTTTATTTGATCCTAATGAAACCCCAGGAACTCGATGGCCTAGGAAGCCTACCAGGGACCGGAAGGAATAGTGAAAGATCTGGGCACCTCCGACCTTGTATAAACAGGCGAAGGAGGAGACAAGTACGATTTGATCACAATTAACGTGCAGGAATTTCCCATGCAAGGATTCATAAATCTTACTCATAGTTTATAGATTTTCTTCTTTTAAAAGACCCATTTGCATTTGCTCAAGTTCTTATTACCTGTGTATTTATTTTGTTCCCGTTCCAGAAATAGGAACTATCCATTGTCAAAGCCCACTCCACCCTGATCTAAGCCTCTTAGGTGCGTCCCAGAGCTACTGTGAAGTTAAATCCGCATCATTACAACCAGTTTTACCCACTTCGACATTTCCTCCCCCAGTTACAGCTCTGCGGCCCCGTTTTCCGACCACTCTAATTGCATACCCCGGTAGAGATCATTCATTGCCATTGAAAGATGACTGCAAAAGCCGCCTTCGGCTACGTTTGTGAACGAGATGGCTCCTCACGGGACAGGACTGGGTCTGCATAATGATTTTGCAACGATAATTTACCCTTCGCACTCAGGACAGCTTTTGCACATGGGTGTGTGTGTGTGTAGCAATTTGTTAAGCCGGCCAATTCTCCTCCCCACGCTTAAACTCCACATAAAAGATCACAGGGTGTCATGGGCAAAGCGTGCTTCGAAACTGCCATCTGAAGCGACGCCCACCCCCAAATCAGCGAGGGTGGTGTCATTTTCTCGCAGAGGTCGGTCCGTCTTTGGGTTGCGCAGCGACTGCGGGAATACCTACCGGTCAAAATAACCCAAACGTTGCCTTAAACCAAAGACATCGCAGCGCCTTTACCTCGAGCGTCTAAACGGATGCATGCAACGCCCTCGCAAAGCCGAACCGCTGGGTTGATTTAGGGCCCGATCCCGCTCGCCTTCTGAGTGTAAACTAGCTTTAGCGAGCACGTACATCGCAAGGGGCGCTTAAAGCCAGGGAAGCCGAGGGGCTGACAGCGATATCCCCTGGTTTAGACCTGTGGTAGATTGCCTAGATTCGGGTCTTTCTCTTTCTCTCTCTTTCAATACGTACCTGTCTCTGGGGGTCACCTGTAATGCTTGGAGCCCGATCTTGCTTGTTTCAGCCAGATTGAGTCCGGAAAATGGATGCGTTTTGCAAAATAAAATAAAATAAAATAAAGACCCCCCCCCACACACACACTTACACACCCGCAAAGCGGCACCAGACTGCAGTAGCCCCGCGGCCGATCTGACTCTACTTCCCTGCCCTGAAGGGAGCATTTCATATCTAGCCACTGGGCCCTTTAGGAAGGGAATGTGTCTTGTGACTAGCGTTCATTCGCTCGCCCAGCACAGCCGGGGGGACCCTGGCTCGGGCTCCAAGCCTCTGGCGTGCGCGAAATCGAAGCGAATTAAAACAAGCCCTCGCTGCCTTGAGCCGGGAGGGGGAACATGGCGCAGTCGGGAAAGGGGGGGGGGGAAAGCAAATCCCCTCTCGTCCCTCCAGACGGGAAGGGCTCTGGCGTCCCCCCCGCCCAGCCCTGCAGCTGGTTCCTCGGGCTGCGAGAAGCCAGGCGCTGCCGGCGCGTTGGGTGCGATATCTAATACAGATGTGTGCGGCGAGAGGGGAAGTGAAGTGGATTTAAAATGCACAAGTACAGCGCGCAACCGGGAAGGGACCCCCCCCCTCCGCACTCACCCCAAAAGGACCACGGAGGCAGAGCTTTAAGACAAGAAGAACCGCCCCCCCCCCAATCCTTGCAGGCGATTCCTCCATCGGAGGTGGGGAAGGAGCTCACTTGCTTCTAAAATGATTGTGCCTCCCTAGGCAAATAGGCAGCAATCGGCTTAAGGTCGGTCACTGACATAGTCCCTGACAAAGCTGGGGTCCCTTCCCGAAGCCCCCCTCCCCCGCCGCCGCCCCCAATAGCCAGGAAGGGTTAAAGAGCGTGTGTCCCTGGGGTAGAGCAAAATCTCCGAGGCGGATGTTTGCAACTATCAACCGGGAAGAAGGCTAGTCAGAAACACGGATTAAACCAGGAACGGGCTTCATTCGGTGCACACGAGCTTGTGTTTCCCAAGAAACAGGATGGCAGCCCGATTCGCCTTGGGGGGAAATTGCTCTCTTCTTTCAGATGGGCTGTGCTTCCAAGGGTCGGTTATTTCAAGCCCGGAGGCTTCAGCTATTGCTAGTGAAATTATTATTCGACGAAAGATCTTGGGAGGAGACTAGTCACTGCTTCAGGGCAGAAAATGTCTCGCTTGCAGTGAAAGGGAAAGGTTCTTAGAGGATTTTTTTTTTTAATGAGTAGCGACTGTTGCTCAGCAAGTGTGAATGGGAAATTAACATGGCAGATTCTTTGGGCCATAGGTGAGTAAACATACTGCGAGTGTCAAGCAAAGCTAATCATAGACTATCAGGGTTGGAAGGGACCTCAGGAGGTCATCTCGTCCAACCCCCTGCTCAAAGCAGGGCCAATCCCCAATTTTTGCCCCAAATGGCCCCCTCAAGGATTGAGCTCACAACCCCGGGTTTAGCAGGCCAATGCTCAAACCACTGAGCTGTCCCTCCCCCCATCAGGTTCCATAAGAAGTCTCAGTCTGATGCCATGTAATGAAACAAACAGAGGTGTTACTGTCTATGTATTAGGAGTATGCCAACCTACTTGCTTCTCTTTCTTTCCCTTGCTACAGTTGTGGACAGAAAACCTTCCAGTCCTGTAGGCAAACCTCAAGAAACCCTAAATAATATACATGGACTTTCTATCCCAGCCTCATCTTCCTAGAGCTTGCAGTGAATCATCCGAGAGAGAGAGTTTTGGATCAACCACCTGCAACTTCGAAAATGAAACAGAATCTAGAAGCACAACTGCATTCAAAGAGGTGCCTTTGGAGAGGAAGAGGCTGTATTTGAAAGAAGCCTAGGCAATAAAAAGAGACAATGACTTTTTAATGCACAAGTGAATGAGATCTGGACATTCATTGACTCTGTGCCTTGAGTGAGTGATTTCCTCAGTCAAGTTGGAAAGTGATGATGGGAGAGAATTATTCTTTCTTTCTTTCTTTCTTTCTTTCTTTCTTTCTTTCTTTCTTTCTTTCTTTCTTTCTTTCTTTCTTTCTTTCTTTCTTTCTTTCTTTCTTTCTTTCACACAAGAGACCTCTGGATATAAAGCAGTCACAGATTTTTCACGACCTACTACCACTGTTCATTGCTTACAATGCCATAGACTTTATTCTGATGTCTCTAGAGAAGAGGATTCATTCAGTGTCTCCAAGACCTTAGCCCAAGGATCTGTGCTCTGAACTGGTTTCTGCCCGTGGATAATGTCTCTCTCCCAGACTGTAAATGGACAAATATGCAGCAACATTTTATGATATATTTTTATAATAACAAACCTTAATAAAAAGTGACTACAACCGATGTGCATGTTTGGATTCCTTCCCTGGGGCCCGTCTTCTCTTTGCATAGCAGCAGACCGTGGCCTCTAGTCATGCAGTTCTCCTCCAATCCACCGGAGCCTCAAGTACCCTATTTCCGCTTCTCCTGAAGAAGCTTCACCAAAAATGGCATCTTCCCATGCCCCTTGTCCAATGTGCTGCTGGAAGCAGCTAGCTGTTAGACTCTTCCTGGGGCCAGTTCTAGACTGTCTCTCTAAAATGAGTCTCTTTGCATTCATTGTAAGGATGATTGTGTGGTTAAAAGGACTGGACTGGGACTCAGGAGACCTACATTCATTTCTAAGCGCTGCAGCCAGCTCTGTGAGTGGCTATGGGCAGGTCACTCAATCTCCCTGGGCCTCAATTCACCATCTGTAAACCTGGGATAATAATATTTCGGTTGAGTTGTCTATTTAGATTGCATGCTCTTTGAGGAAAAGGCTGTTTCTTACAGTGTGTTTGTACAGGCCTACCTCAAAGGGGCCGTAAGTGTGGCTGGAGTCACTAGGTGCTGCCCTAATACATATAATAATCCTAAGGAAGAACTGAGTTCCAAATGGAGATTACAGAAGGTTGCAAAACCTGGGAGACCTTTGCTGACCTTGCACTTGAGTATAAAGCTTAGGGAGAGAAAAGAAAGAGTATTTTAAATAGGGGAGAGCTCTGCCAGGCTCACATACTCATTGCACTAAACAGACTATAGTTAAAAGAGAGGAGGCCAAGTGGAAGGCAATGAAATTACATCAGAGAAGGATCTGGACTCGTGAATTCAGTTAAATATATCTTAATGGCCATCAGACCTTCTGAAATTGATCACTATTGGCCATATTTAGTTCCATGGAATGTCTATAGATTTAGGACTGATCTAGAATTCAGAACGGGAACTGCTTCAGAACAGAAGAATGATAGCCACACCCTCAAAGCATGAATAAAATGAGTGTATCCTTTCTCAGACAGATGAGTCCAAACAAAACATCACACCAAATATAGCTAATGAGATTCTTCCTAGAAAGGGAAATGTGAAAGATGCATACCCTCTTTCTAGTGGGTCTCTCCTGCAGGCACATGTATTGCATTTCGGTGGTCTGTGATGTCAGACAGGCACTTCTCGTCCACATAATTCAAAACTCATTACATAAGATGTATAAGAAAATAGCCCTGATCCTCTAAAGCATTGGTTTCAAAAGAAACACATGTAGTGCTCAGTGAAAGGGGATTGCCAACACTGAAAACCAAGGGCCTTTATGCACCAAAGTACAGGGCAGGCAGAATCAAAGCAAAGACAAGCAGTACAGAGCGTGTAGGGAAAAGGAGTGGGTGTCAGGAGAACTAGCATATGTCTACGCTGCATTTTAAACCTGGGTCTGTGGGACCTGGGCTTGTGGACTTGGTGCTTCCAAGCCTGTGCTTGAGCGTCCACACTGCATGGTAAATCTGGGTTCACAACTGCTGTGTGGACATATTCGCAGGTCTCAGCCATGCGAATATGTCCACACAGCATTCCACAGACCTTCTGACTCATGTCTGCAGCATGAGTGGTGTCCACATTGCAGAATGACAGAGCTTGGACCTGGGTCACAGTGGGACTTAGGCAGTGACGCCCCCAGCAGGGTCTGAGAACCCAGGTCCTGAGCGCTTGCTGTCCTGAGTCAGACTGATTTGTGTGTGGCCAGAATGGGGGCTTGGGCTCAAACCTGAATCAGATCCCTGGGCTTAGTGGGAAGTGTACATGGACCCCGGGAGTCTATTCCTGGCTCTGTCACTGACCTTCTGTGTGGCATTGAACAAGTCACTCCTACACTCTCTGTCTTGTCTATTCAGGTTGTACGCTTTTAGGGGCTGGGACCTTCTTTAATGATACATTTGTACAGTGCCTAGCGCAATGGGACCCCAAGCTCTGCTGTCATATAAATAATAATAAAGTTTCCTCACGCTGCCCCAGTGATATGCCTCCTGCCTGAATTAAAGGGAAAGCCCCCACAAGGGGAAGGATAGCTCATGCTCTATGTCCGTTCAGCTCTGGTGGCTTCAATGAGGCTGCCCACAAGGCGTGCTGGATAATGGGTACAGCCAATTCCGATGGTGCTTTTAGTGGCATGAATACCTGGGCCCAGATTTTCAAAGGTATTCAGCTGACAGAAGATGCAGCTAGGTGCCTAGTGAGATTTTGAAAAGCACCTAAGCAGGCTAGACACCATACTCCCATGGGAGTTAGGCACCTATCTGTATCTTCAGGTGCCTAAAAACTTTGGCTCTCTGCAAAAGGAATGCCTTCCATCCCACATGGAAGGTGAGGCTCTGCCTTTTGCAGCAGCATTCCTCCTTCTCAGGGACCCACACAGGGCTCTCCATGGGGTCAATGAGGACAGAAATGATAGGGCCTGGGTGGGCCTGGGATGGCGAATGACCAGCCCCATATTGGATAGAGGTGAGGCTGCGGGGAATCCGTATTGCTTCTCCATTGGCCTGGGGCTGTATTACCTTTTCCATGAAGCCCTCTCCTTGGAGGGCGTGGGAGTGTGTGGGTGGTAGCCAGAGGAATTCCTGGCAGCTCAGCTCTGCAGGAGTTGCGCTGGCAGGAAGCCGGCACCCTCCCCCACCCCCTTGGACCTGTGTGGACCTCTCCATGGTCCCCTTGGCTTACTGAGCAGGGGTAAATCCTGCCCCTACCAAGGATCATTGTGGAGTCTTCCTTCTTTCATCTGCCTCTCGCTGTGGGTTTTACCCCCTTATCAGCCACCCCAGCTTTCACGTGCTTCACTGTGGGCTTTGAGATCTACATGGCCCCAGAGGAGCACTGCTGTGGCAGGGATGAATAGATCAAACTTTGGTCTTGTTGGAGCTGGGGCCCGATCCATTAATGGTTTTGCAAATTAAGTCCAAAGGCTTATGCTGGCATCAGAAGCCAACAGGGTGCCCTTGGAAGGACTTGAGGATGTGCCTGATGTGCTCACAGCAGCCTGAGCCATGGAGAAGGCGGGCAGCTGGCTGGATCCTGAGCATCATCTTGCCATTCAGCTTCAGAAACGGTGAGTTACGGCGATCCAGCCTGGAAGTGGCAAATTGGCCAGGCCCCCGGCTGGCGGGAAGGGGTGAAGTACTCCCTGGCCTGAGCAATTATTCCCATGAAGGTGTCACCTGCACTCTGTGGTACCGGAGACCCAATGTGACAGAGGAAGGTGGGAGGATCACTGTCCCAGCACTGCAAGCCCCAAGCATTCAAAATCATGAGTCAGGGCTCCCCAAACCAGGAGACTGGCTTAACAATCAGATTTAAAAAAATAACAATTCATGATCTATTGGCTTCTGCTTTCTGAGCCTTCAGGGCTCACGTTTTTGAGCCATTCTCCAAAGCCATGAAGGCTAGACATTTTTTTTCTGATCAATGAAAGCTGAGATTTGCATGTGATCACATGACTTCTGGGGCTGGGGTGTTAAGGAAAACCCAAATATCATGAGACCCATGATAAAATCACGAGAGTTGTGAACACTGTATGTCTCTTTGGCATTCATGCAGGTCAAGATATGCCTCACGAGTCTGTTCCAGTGAGCAAATATGTAAGTAAATAAATAAGACATTCTTGGCTTGATCCTGTAATCCTAGTACATCCCAAACCCCAGTGAATTGATTGGCTGAAGCCCCATTTTGGCAAGGTACCTAAGCAGGTGCATTTAAAATTAAGTACCTTGCTGAATTGGGACTTGAGGGCAAAAGGCATTCAGGATTCAGCCCTAAGTCAGTTTACCTAAAACACTGAAAAAATAAATATACAGGGCAAAGTTTTGCCCTCAGATATGTGCATGCAATTCCCATTGAATCCAAAGAGCACCGGGCATGTTTAGCATGTGAGAATTTAGCCTATGAATGAGGCTAATCAAAATTACATTTATTTTAAAAAACCCTGAATTACTTTACCACATCCTAAGAAATTTGCTCGTCTTAGATCATGATACCGTCAACCAGAGAGCATTTTCAATGCACACGAAAGGCAAATTTTCTGAGATAAGGCAGTGGCAGCTGGTTCAAAGACTTTTGACAACTCTAATTGTTGAACTAATTATTAGCAAATGGATAGAAAAATTTTTACATAAACCTTTACATCTTACATTCTAAATGGAACTCAAATGTTTAAGCCAAAGAAGAAACCTGTCAAAAAACGATGGTTACAAAATGAATGAAATGTAGGTTTTAAAAGGACACCATCTACTTGAACTCTAGTTTCAAAAAATGAATGAAGTGGGTTTCAAGTACTGTCTAACTGAAGCGCATATCTGGCCCCGGATCATCACAGCGTCTAATGCGCTTATCCTCACAACACCCCTCTGAGGCTGGGAAGTGGTACTTTCC